CCCCCCCCAACAAAAAAAAAAGATAGTGTTGATAATCTAAACACAAAAGTCAAACCTAACTAGTTGATTAAAACACATTAGAGGTCAAAGTAAAACAGAAAAGTATGACCCAACCACTCATTGAAATATATTGGAGATAGTTAATCAAAAAATGTGGTGTTGACTCTGTGATGCATGCCTAAATGAGAATAATGACTCCCTTTTTCCTTACTCAACTGAAAAAGGAAAAACAAAAAAACAATAACACCTAAAACTACAAAATGGAAAAATGGAGAGAGGAGAAAATAAAAAGAAGAAAGTCTGGTAAAAATTGGTTGAACCAACCATTCAAACATGATAGAGACAAGTTGCTTAAGCACACAAGAACAAAAACAGATATCCAGCTAAACAATTCCTTATTCCCTCTGCTTTCATCTCAGTTTAGTAAAAGAAACTTTCTGTAATTAGCTATAGTGTAAGATACAATATCGCATTGTGTTTTTAGCGGCAACGTAAAGCCAATAACCAATATATGCCCATGTCACTGTTTGTCGGTTACAAGCCATTTGGTTTTCTCTATCACAAGTCCATGTGGTTAGGCAGAAGACAAGAAGCAATTTTTTTAGCATTTATATATTAAATGTTACCTTGTCAAACCTAGAAATAGTACCAATACCCCTCTTATTAATTTAATAATTTAAAAAAAAAGAAAAAAGTGTACCTTGCCTTGCACTTTGGATGATATTTTCATACATATAAAACAATCTTTAGACTCGTTTTACTTTAGTTTCAATCGGTAGTTATCTTCTTTCTGTATTATTTATGTAGCACCATTTGGCTGTGGGTTAACACATGTATGCTGAAACCAAAGAAGAATAGAAGAATAATTTTAACTATTTTCCCGACAATAACAACAATAAAAAATCCAGTATAATATTAAAAGTAAGGTCTGGTGAGGATAATGGGTACACAGTCTTGCACGTACCTATGCAGATAGAAAGACCGCTCTTTTGTAGTTTAAAAAAATAAATAAATATATTGTAGATCAAAATATAAATAAATATACTAATTTCTCCCTCTTTTGTAGTTTAAAAAAATAAATAGAGAACTCTCACATGACAAAAAAACTATAAGTCCTAATATTGTGATAATGGTGGAGGATAACAGTGTCAAGTATGACGGCTGTGATTTAATAATATTGCCAAGCAGAGTAGAAATAGTGAACAAGGGAAATCACTAAGGGCTCGTTTCGTACAAGGAACAAAGAATAATTAATCTCATGACTAAATTTAAAAAGAGTTTATCACATGTTTGGTTAGGAGAAAATTACAGTATAATTAATTCCAAGATTAATTAACCCGGGATTGTAGTATTTTTTTATCCCTATGGAAAGGTGGAATAACTAATGCCGGAATAATTAATTTTGGGATAACATCTTCCAACCAAACAACCCCTAAGGAGTAATTATAGAAGGTTTTATAACAGAAAGTGACTAATGTCTATAGGGGTTGGTAGTTGTTTTGCTCTACTAATATAATTGAAAATTAGTATTTGTGCCATGAGAAATTGAGATCTTTATAAAATAATGCAACATCAGAATCCTACTTTCCCCTTGAATCTTGCATCAGAACAAAAATATCTAATTTATTTTCATAAAATGTGTCTGAGTGAGAGGATCACATGAAAAAATGATGGACAATATCTGTTCTCTTTCTTGCATATAATAAATTGTCACCTTCCTATGATGTAAGGCAAGTCCAACCAATTGGGACCTACCATAATTATAGATTAAAACCATAACTTTTAGCTCCAAAAAGCCTAGATTTCCAACATGAAACTACTTTCAAATCCTTGGACTGAAACAAAGTAGCAGAAGGATACTTAAATGAATTATGCAGATCAACAAAAGAATCATAAATTTTCTTAGGTTATTTAGCTAGAGATTCTAAAGAATTAGATAAAGACATAAAGACAAACTGAAAAGGTAAACAAGAACATGTGTACAAAAGAGAAGTAATGTGCTTACTATTAACAGTATTCAGCAGGGAGAATTAATGGAGGGAGAGGAGAGAGAAGAGAAAACAAGGACAAAAACAAGAAAGAAAATAAAGAAGGTCCAGTACACCTACAACTGCCACACTCAGGGGTTCCTTGGAGTAGCAATAAAGACTTCTTCTTCTTCTTCTTCTTCTTCTTCTCTTCTGCTGCTGCTGCTTGTATCTTTCTAAAATAAAAACTTTGGTTACATATTTAATCACACACAAAAAAAAGGATGTTGGGTTGAATTTATATTGTATAAAGGTGGATGGTTTTTTTCATGATTTTGGATTCAAGAACATGGGACATTATCATGGTTCTAGGATTCTTTTACACTTTCTCTTCATTATCACTTTCATTCTTGTATCTTTTTGCTGTACACACATTTTGTTTGGTGATGTCTCATTGAATGCTACAAAGTATTTGACTAGTATTCATGGTTTTAAAAAGCTACATTATTTGCATAAAAATGGGGATGGCAAAGAAAGTGAAAGTGGGAAGATCTCTGGAGAAAAGCAAGTCTTTATTGTGGAAAAGTTCAGAACTTTACTTGGACTGAGGAATTTCAACTCAAGAAATGGTGATTTTGCATATATTTCAACATCACCTTCACCTTCTCCATCACCTTCAATTGCACCTGAAGCTCCAGCTCCTTCTCCGGCGCCACGAATTCATCGGCATTCTCATCGACATTCTCATCACAATCCCTTTATCCCAGCTGGCCTCGGGATAAAGGAAAGAAGGAGAAAAAATAATACTAGTAGAGTTTTAGCAGTTGTTCTTGTTTCTGCTGGGATTTCAACTGCATTGTGTGCAATTGCCCTTTTCTTTGGCTGCAAAAAGTTCAGAAAACAAAGAAAGAAAACAACAAGATCAGTTTCACTATTCAGCAGTGAAGCAGGAAGTGTATGTAGATCAAGGTATGCTAGTTCTCAGAATTCAGTAAAGAAGGTAAGTTCTGATCCAGGCCCTGACCTTTTTTACCTTGATTCACTAGAAGTTGCTCTAGAATCATCAGAGCCAATTTGCTTAAAACAAAATTCTGTAACTGAAAAGATTTACTCAAGTGAAAATATAGCAAACAGTACATTGAGCGAGAAAGCAGAACCAGAGCAGGAAATCAGTGTGTCAAAGCCTGATGGTGATAATAAATGTTTAAGTGTTGGAGAAATTGTGTGTATTTATGAGAGTGCTGATTCAGTTAAGTGTGAAATTGATGATTGTAACTCTTCCAATGGTGACAAAATAGTTCCTGAGGAAGCTCATTCATCAGATGATGAATTATTTCATTCTTTGTGTAATTCGCGTTCGTCTAGTACTAGACTATCCAATGTTTCAGCTAGTAGTCTTATTGAAACCTCAGAGTTTATGCCTCAAGATGAATCAAAAGTATCACATTGTTCTACATCCTCCTCAGCACATTTGTCAACTCCACCCCTGCCGCCCCCACCGCCTCCTTTGCCTTCATTTCCACCACAATCTCCTTGTAGGTCTACAGCTTCTTCAGTGAAAATGAAGGCTAAAGTTCTTAGTCATGCTCCGTTGCACATTGAATCATCTACTAGAAATTCAGATTCTTCTTCAGGATCAAACCAAAGTCCGGAAAATGACTTGTCACAATCACCTCCAAATCAGGCTAATCCTGCTGGAGCAATTCCTCCCCCACCTCGTCCCCCGCCATTCGCAACAGGAAGTAGTATTAATATTTCGAAAGGCCCGCCCCCTCCACCGTCTTTGCCTTTCCAACACTTGGCAGTAGGCAAAGATGGAAGTCCACTCCCAAAACTGAAACCACTTCACTGGGACAAAGTAAGAGCTGCATCAGACCGCAAGACTGTTTGGGACAAGCTGAGACCAAGCTCGTTCGAGTAAGTTACATCTTTTTTCCTTGTAAAGATCAGAATATTATTGCTCATGTTTGTTACCAACTCCACTGTATCCATTTACAAATTTATGGTCATGGAACAGATTTGATGAGGAAATGATTGAGTCACTATTTGGTTACAATCTGCACAATTCAATGAAGACCGATGAAGGGAAAAGCAAAACTCCATCTCCAAGCAAGCATGTTCTTGATCCTAAAAGACTACAGAACATAAGCATACTATCCAAAGCTTTGGGTGTGACTGTTGAACAAGTTTGTGAAGCACTAATAAAAGGTAAAGCAATTCTCACTTTCAGCTCCCTTTCTGTTTCCTTCACGAAAATTATAACATTCAAGTGTCACAACAGGAAATGGATTGCATTTGCCACAACTAGAGGCTCTTGCTAAAATGGTACCTACTAAAGAAGAAGAAGACAAACTCTCAAGTTATAAAGGAGATATTAATGAACTAGGGTCAGCTGAGAAGTTTGTAATGGCAATGCTTAAGATTCCATTTGCATTCTTGAGAATTGAAGCCATGCTTTATCGCGAGACATTTGATGATGATGTTCATCTTCTCAAGAAGTCTTTCTCTATGCTAGAGGTAACCAGCAAACAATAAGAAACTTTTCTCACTTTCATCTATTAAATTGACTAAACTTATAAAATTTTACTGTCGCAGGAGGCGTGCAAGGAACTCAGATCAAGCCGACTGTTCTTAAAATTGCTAGAAGCAGTGTTGAAAACTGGAAACAGGATGAACATTGGGACGATAAGAGGAGGAGCAAGAGCATTCAAACTTGATGCACTACTTAAACTATCTGACGTGAAAGGAACTGATGGAAAAACTACACTACTTCATTTTGTCGTTCAAGAAATCATTCGATCAGAAGGCTTAAAAGTATCCCAAAGCATAATGGGAAAGATAGACCAGAAACGCAAGAATAAAACTGTCCAAGACAGAGAGGAAGACTACAAAAGGATGGGTCTTGATCTTGTTTCTGGTCTAGGCACTGAGTTATGCAATGTCAAGAAAACAGCCACAATGGACTTGGATGTAATAGCAAGTTCAGTATCAAATCTCTCAGAAGGAATGAACAAGATAAAAGCACTAGTAACAAATGACTTGCCTGCAGTTGAAAAGAATGGAGGTAATTTTGTGCACTCAATGACAGCATTCTTGAATTATGCAGAAAGGAAACTAAGGGAATTGCAGGAAGACGAAAATCGAGTACTTTTACGTGTTAGAGAAGTCACAGAATACTTCCATGGAAATGTGAGCAAAGAAGAATCCAACCCTCTCCGGATTTTTGTGATTGTGAGAGATTTCTTGGGCGTGTTAGATCATGTATGCAAAGAGCTTAGAAGCTCAAAAACTCCCAATAGTCCTAACCCTTTAGCTCCATTTCGATAGGCTCTGTGTGTTAATAGTTTTTTTGTTTCTTCTTTTAACAAATTCAACTATTGTATAAGATTTTGTATCAAGAATTCGCAAGTCATTTGCCTCAAGAGCTTGTATTTATAATGAATAACAGTGTACAAATAAGGTCATCAATGTGGAAACCAAAACTAAGAGGTAACAAAGTCATTCCACTTTTAGTAACCTGTCCAAGTTCAAACGGATTGGGTTATGATCATTTGTTGACATTATCCAACGAGTTGAACTTAAAATGACCAATCAAACTATAAGAAACGAGTCAAAATATAATAGTGCAAACCGAAACAAAACACAAAAAAACCAAATTTTGAGATTGGGAACTATGTAAATTTGGAAGAACTTGAGTTAGTAATATAAAAAAAAATTACATTTTTAAAAGGAAAATAAAAATAGGAGATTGAGTCATGTTGGACGGGTCTGGTTTTGACCCGAATCATTTTGACCCAACAGCTTTGGATCATGACTCTTTTATTGATTTCATCTATTTTGGCCAGCTCAAGTTAAACCAATTCATGCATTTGTCACCTCTACCACAACTCAATGAAAAAAAGTAAACAGGCAAAAGAGAAAGATCGAGAATGATATTCCTTTTGAACTTAAAGTACTGATCCAAATCCATAGAGAATATTCCCCTTCTGAAATGGAAGGATTCAGATTCCACGAGGCCAATTAAAATCAACAAGGAAACTGTGTCCAACAGACAGTAGATATCATCATTTACCTAAATTAGGATTTCTGATTTCTGACATGCACTCATAGGCTTAGTTGTCAATGCAGAATTTGAAGGCATGTATTTAGAAGAAGAATATTGACTCCTTTCTACATCAACAAAAATAGGAGTAAAATCCAGTTTACCCTTTTTAACCTTTAGGGGTCGTTTGGTTACCGGTTAGAGTTATGCAGGTATTAGTTATACATGTATTAGTTATGCAGGTATTAGTTATGTATGTATTAGTTATGCAGGAATAAGTAACGCAGGTATTAGTTATGCAGGGATAAGTTATGCAAGGTTGAGTTATGTTGGGATTAGTTATGCATGGATTAATTATGCGGGGATTAGTTATGCGGTAGTTATATAAGGATTAGTAATATAAATGTAATATGAGTGTTATTTATTATTAGCTTACTTTATTTTTATTAAAATTGTTAGTATAGTTTAAATATATTTTTTTAAACAAAAAAATACAAGTTTGAATAAAGGGTATTCCTGTCATTTTTTTGTTTTAATACAAGTATTACTAATTATGTATAAGTTATTCCACCTTCTACCTTGCATAAATAATACATAGATTCCCTCATAACTTATACATGTTTAGTTATGCGGAAAAGAAAATACATGAACCAAACATTGTATTAGCAATGCTATATTTTATGTGAAAAAGAGGAAAAACCAACCAAACATTGTATAACTTATGCTAGCTTCTACGTGGAGATTATTCTTCCCCCTTCTTTTAACCAAACAATGTATAAAGTTATCCTACATTTAATAAATAGATAACTCCTCTCTAACCGGCTACCAAACGACCCCTTAGGGATTGGTAAATAGTTTCTCCTCACGTTTTGAATGAGAAAGGCTGAAAGGGAACCCTTGTGCAATAACTTTTCGGTGAAATAATTTTTTAAAATAAAATTTTTGTCTTCTTTGAATAGACAATTTTTAGAATAACCAAGTTCTTTAGCCAAAAGCTCAAGTTGATAAAACAATTAGGATCTATATAATTTATGAAGTTCCCTTTTAGCCTTCCTGCATAGTATAAGATATGATGTAATGCAAAAATATCCATAATGATTTTCAAATGTGACATTATCAACTATAAATTTCTGCTCAATAATGATATTTTCAAAATAAATAAAGTTTTAATAATTGGCTTTAGCATAATTTTAATATACAAAAAAAATACATAAATAAATTAATACTTCCAGCAGCAATTCTTTCATCTAATATATATATATATATATATATATATATATAAATATATAATGTCAGAGAAATAACTATTTTAGTGTATTTTTTCCCTTCAAATTGAAATGCTAAAGCATCCATGGTGAATGTGAGTTAAGCATATTTCTTGAATTTTGTATGCAAGTTTTTGTTCTTTATTGCAAAAATAAATGGCCTCAATATAATAGAAAAATATCTTAAATATTACAAGCAAGAAAGAAGAAATTCAATTATTGGTTTGGACGGAAAATATGATACTTCAGCTTTGAAAGAATAGAGAGAGAAAAAAAATTATTATAAAAAAGAAATTCTCACCAAAAAAATATTGTAAAAGGGGTTCCCTTTCCCATTCAAATGTAAGAGGGGATATTGTTTCCCGACTCTTAAGTTAAGGGGTAAAGTGAATTTTACTCTAAAAATAGCTCAGCAGCTTGAACGGGATATCAGACTAGGGATGTTCGTCGGTCGGTACGGTACGGTATTTAGACATTTCGGTTCGGTATTTTCGGTATTCGATTTCTTAAAATGCTATACCAATACCGTACCTAATTATATTCGGTATGGTTCGATTTTTCTCCTTTCGGTTTCGGTTTATTCGATTCGGTAACTTTAGTTTATTCGGTTTGAATACTAACTTGTGCGTAGAGTCATAGAATGTAATATCCTTAATTAAAGTACTCAAAAGTACAAAACTAAAAACGTTTGTTGACAAAAGTTTTATCCAAAACCAGTAAATATCAACCTAGAGAGAGAAAACTGTACATAAAGGAATAAATTTAATCATTAGAAATGTCTTGTTACTTGCTTAGAGTTACTTGATCAACTTAGAGAATAAAGAAAAGCAAAATTTAAGATTTTTTATATTTTAATTAATAATATGTGTATTGTGCAATATAATATATATTTCGGTACGGTATCTGTATCTCATTGTAAAATACCAAATACCATACCTAATACCAATCTTTTTTAAAAATTAAATCAAATACCATACCGAATACCTAAATATCGAATACCAAATACCAAAATTTTCGATTTCGGTATGGTAATTCGATATTTACCAAATTATGCACCGCCCTAAATCAGACTATCAGAGAATATCGCCATCTTTAGCTATATTTAGATACTAATGTGGCCATTCGAACATTTTTCCTCTGATTTGAAGCAATGAGTATTAAGGGGTCGTCTGGTTGGCCGCATAAAAATACATCTCTACATTAAGTAATGTATTTGACTGGTTTTATAAAACTTAATACCCGCATAATTTGTATCGACATTAAGATATTATTTTATAGGATATACAACGTGAAATAAGAATATGTTATGAAATAATAAAAGAAGAAGAAGAGTATTACAGAGAAAAGTAGAGACAGAGAATTCTTATTGATTTTGGAATGAATTGCAATGGAATAGAACCCTCTATTTATAGGGAGAAGGTGACTTAGCCACCAAGCAATGAACCCTAGAATCTCTCTAAATATAGACATTCACCATAAATACAATTCTATTTATAACACTCCCCCTTGAATGTCTATTCAGATAATGTGCCTCGTTAAAAACCTTAACTAAACTAAAACCCAGTGGGAAAAAATTCTAGAGAAGGAAAAAGAGTACACATATCTAACAATACGCCTTTTGGTTGCCTCGTTAAAAATCTTGCAAGAAAAACTCAGTGGGACAAAACCTTGTAAGGGAAAAGGAGTACAACGCGTATTAACTCCCCCCGATGAGAGCATCAATTCATATCCTTGAGCCTTCGCATTCCAATCTTGTGCACTAGCTTCTTGAAGGTTGACATCGGCAAAGATTTGGTAAATAGATCCGCCATATTAACTCCAATGAATATGTTGCACCTTGAAAATCATCGCTATCACATTATCATGCTTATAGTTATAGCAAGATACCTTTATGCACAAATTGCACTTAGGATGTGGTCATTCGTGACCAAAAAATTTTTCAAGAATTGTATATGCTATCAGCATTTTAAATCGTTCATGGATTGCCATATAAGTATAGTCAATAAGCCATATAAATAGACTTTAGATTTGCATAAGTTTTCATGTCATGCCAGACGTATAAGATATATAAAAGTGATAGCACACACCATTGTCTTTATACTTTTAAGTGTTTGAACTACAGGTCCAAAACTACTTGTCTTTCATATGAAACCAAATTCTACTTGAATTGTTTCTCCAGACTTAAGATCCTCATATATTTAGTGCTATAATCAATGTCGTCGACAAACATTTTATATCGGTTCCAACCTCCTTATTTTTCATAAAGACATAACATAGAGATCTCTTCATTCATATATTCGGGTACCTGAATCTCTCATGAGATTTTATGAAGTGTTATGTCATGTGATCTTCTAGATCACTTGCCTCCTTTATTATGATCATTTTGATCATTTGCTCATCTTCTTTATCAAGAAGTTTATTTGAAACCGATTGTCTATACTCTTTAAGCTTACCATAGACTTTGTCCTTCTAGGACTTAATAGGAGCATTTGCAATGAGAATATAGTTACTTTCTTTGGGTCAGCAAATGCGTCCGGCATGCTTTGCAATATATTGCAGATGAATTATCTTTTATGAACTTCAAGTTCATATTATCTTATTCGAGGATCTAGATGTACACATGATAATTCATTACACGTAACTTTTTCTCAACTGTTTATCTTGTCTCCCCCTCATGTTAGAAAAACTAACTTGCTTCCTCAATTTTGAGAATCCACCTTTGTGTGTTATGGTGTTAATCAAAATATACACCGCACGTTAATAATAATAAGATGGAATTATTTGGTTCCTGACCCTGAACCACTTGTGAGGAGAGAATGTAATATACTTTCGTATATATAACCTATATCATACTGATATAAATAACTTTGTTCTCATAAGCAATTGTTTAGCTTTAAATGGAGGCACTCAATAAATCATTTTGCTAGATCAACTGTGATGTAAACCAACTTATCAAGATAAACTATCTTGAATAGGAAATCTGGAAATTATGCTCGAAATTAAATTATTGAGCAAGTTACCTCGCACACACCGGCCAGGTTGCGGGTTAATAATAATTGCACATGTAACCATCTCATAGATGCATCTTATATGGTATACATGGCAGGTGAATGGG